GTCATTTATAAAAACACTGAACAACACCGGGCCAAGGACCGAGCCCTGCGGCACTCCACTCGAGACTTCCCTCCACGTAAACGCAGAGCCATTTATGAGCACTCCTTGGGTACGATTTTTCAACCAACCATGAATCCATCCAACGGTTGCACCATTCAGCCCACCCTTAACTAGCATCCTCGAGGATATCATGAGAAACTTTGTCAAATGCTTTACTGAAATCTAGATACACTAGATACTCAGCATTGCCAGAGTCAACCATTTTAGTGACTCTGTCAAAAAAGGAGATAAGGTTGGACTGGCATGACTTATTCTTGAGAAACCCATGCTGGCTACTCCCAATTAACTCATTCCGTTCAAGGTGCTCACAGACAGAGCGTTGAATAATCTGCTCTAGAATTTTTCCAGGTATTGATGCCCAACTCTGAGCATCTCTTGCCTTGAAACACCTACAAGGTCACCATAAATGTGCTGCGACTCAACAGACCTTTCCTCCACCACCGAGAGCCATCAATGTACGCTACAGCGGTTGAGGGGACGTATTTCCTTTCCCCTGGCCTGAGATTTCACCAGGCATTAACACACTTTCAAACCGATCTGCAACACGAAGAGCCAGAAACTGCCCCACCACCACCCACGTGGAATCCCGTATCAGCAGCCAATGCATCATGTTCTGCTGTTTCTCTGCATGCCTGTGCAGTCATGGCTCACGGGACTCTGGATCAAGACACTTGGTATTTTAGGTCCACTGATGCAGCACAAAGCTTGTTGGCTGAAATCTTCAGTGTACACAGAGTGTGTTGTGTTCACACACAGACACACAGATACACACACAAACACCATCAACCTTTCAAGGTCAGGACTGTCTACTCTGACTGGCAAGCAGCTCTCCAGGGTCTCAGGCAGAAGAGGGGTCTTTCACATCACCTAATGCCTGGACCAGGCACTCGTTAGCCTCGGCTGCTACAGGAGAAGGAGAGCCACTGAGCTGGTGCAATTAATACTCAGGGATTGTGCGCTCTGTGCTACAGTAGCAGCAGGTCTCACCTGCCCACTACTGTAGCAGAGAGCGCATACTTGCCAAGTATTAATCGCAATGGTCAGTCGGCTCTTCTACTGTGGTGGCCGAGGTGAACGAGTGCGGCTGGCAGGTAAGGGCACGGGCAGTGGGAGTTGTGGGGCGTGGGCCACAAAGTGAGGGGGCACCGCCCCTAAATGCCCCACTGTGGCTACGGGCCTGTGCCTGGTTCTTTTTAAGCTGGAGATGCTGAGGATTGAACCTGGGCCCTCCTGTCCGCCGAGCAGATGCTCTACCACTGAGCCACGGTCCCTCCCCGAGGGCAGACGGCAGCTGCACACTGCATAATTAAGGAGAGAAAATGCTTCGCTCTCCACTGCTTAAATTAGAACAGGAACTCCTGTGCCTTAACGTCGCAAGACAGAGCTATTCATTATTTAAAACTAGGAACCAGAAACCATGCTTGGTTGTGCAGATGGCTTAGCTAAAGTTACAGCTGAGAATCCGGCACCCTCAAAAAGCTACTTCTGGGAAAGAGAGAAAAATCAAGCCCGAAGGTTGCTGTCGCAAGAAGACTCCGCCAAAGCATAGCCGTATTTGCAGAAACAAATGTATATGGCAGACCATGGTGATACGAAGCTTATTTCATAAAGCATCGAGTCTTTCAAAATGCATTAGCAAAGAGAAAGAGGAACAAAAAACAGCCCTGTCTGCATAATGAAGCCAGGAAAAAAAAAAAGAACTACCGACAGGCGCTCACAACATTAGGACCAGAGAATCACATACCGCATTAATCAGGTTTGTCCAGACAATGATAACTAAAAGCAAGATTCACAAGTCAAGTGATCTGGATCTCTGTTTTGTATTGTGCACACACAAGACACGGACCCACAACTTCGTCAGGCGTCAGAAGCTAAGCAGGGTCAGCCCTGGTTAGTACTTGGATGGGAGACCACGAAGGAACTCCAGGGTTGCTACGCAGAGGCAGGCAAAGGCAAACTCTCCGTGTTTCTCTCTTGCCTTCAAAATCCAATGGGGTGGCCCTCAGTCAGCTGCAACTTGATGGCACTTTCCTCCGCCAGTCATGTGTGATAACCAGTGTTCCCTCTAAGCTGAGTCAGTGTGAGCTAGCTCAGAGCTTTTTAGCCTCCGGCTCACACATTTTTGTCTTCGCTCGGGAAGGGATGGCCTCCAGAGCAGACTGATTTATGCAGCAGCCAAATGGCTCGCTCACCACTTTAATGCCAGTAGCTCACAAAGTAGATTTTTTGCTCACAAGACTCCACTGCTTAGAGGGAGCATTGGTTATAACTAGGGTTGCTAACTTTGGGTTGGGAAATTCCTAGAGGTTTGGGGGTGGAGCCTGGGGAGGGCGGAGTTTGGTGAGTGGAGGGAGGGATGTGACGACACAGAGTAACCCCCCCCTCCAAAGCGGCCATTTCCTGCAGGGGAACTGATCTGCGTAGTCTGGAGACCGGTGCTAATTTTAGGAGATCTCCAGGCCTCACCTGGAGGTTGGCAAACCTAGCTTTTACCCATGATCCCCAGCATGTGCAGAATATTGGAAGCCTGATGCTGACTGGATGGCTTTTCCTACTCGCCCCGCCCCATCATAGCCGCCAGTCATTATTAAGAAAGGGCAACTCTGGTGTTGCATTGGCCATTCCAGCTTCACTGGAGACTGCTTTTTCAGTAAAAAAGTAAAGGTAAAGGTTCCCTTGCTTGAAAGCCAGTCGAGTCCGACTCTAGGGTTGCAGTGCTCACCTCCGTTTCAAAGCCGAAGAGCCAGCGCTGTCCGAAGACGTTTCCGTGGTCATGTGGCCGGCATGACTAAACTCCAAGGCGCACGGAACGCTGTCACCTTCCCACCAAAGTGGCACCTATTTATCTACTTGCAATTTCTTGCTTTCGAACTGCTAGGTTGGCAGGAGCTGGAACTAGAGACGGGAGCTCACTCCGTCATGCGGCACACTCGGGTCTTGAACTGCTGAACTACCGACCTTCCACAGCCTGCAGTTCAGCGTCTTAACCACTTGAGCCACCGCAGCATTTTCAGTATTACGGTGCTAAACCAAAGACCAGAGAACTAGCAGGAGTGAAAGGCTCCTCTCTCCAGGCCCTGGAGAAACAGAGGAGACATCTGCTCCTCTTCCAGCCACCCTGTCTTTTGATCTGGAGAGACACCCCCGCCCTCCACCCACTTGACACCCACAACAACATACTGGGATGGATCCAGGCGGACGGCTTCCGTGGGGGTCAACCGGAGTGCAAGCCACGGCTGCCCCGCTACCTTCCCACTGCTATTTTCCAAAACAGGAAACGTGATCCCCCTTCGACAAAGCCTTCCAAAGTTCACAGAACATACAAAGGGGGCAAAGCGAGAAGCTATCAGAGGTTAAACGGGGGAAACCTCTTCTATAATGAGAAGCTTCGATGCCTTTTCCAGGGGACCAAATGATGGAACTGCAGTCTGCGCTAGGGACAGACATTCTAGGCCAGGGGTGTCAAACATAAGGCCCTGGGGCCGGAACCAGCCCATCCAGCAACTGGCATGTATGGAAATGTAGCCAGAGACGTTTTCTCTGATTTGCAAGACTGAGCTAGTTGAATTCTTAGAGTAGGGGTGTCAAACATAAAGCCCAGGGGCCGGGGCCGGCCCATCCGGGGCTCTTACACGGCCTGCAAACAACTGGTATGCATGGAAGTGTCAAGTTGTTGTTGTTCAGTCGCACAGTCGAGTCCGACTCTTTGCGACCCCATGAGTGTCAGGGACTCCCCCTTTTATGGTACCCCTTGGAAAAAACCTAGTCTTGCACATGATTAAATACATTTATTGGGGGCTTTTGTGGGTTCCCCAGTAAATCAATTGCCTTCACTGCTAGGAAATCAATTGCTTTTGTTTGTATTTTTAGTAAAAACAATATCGTTAATTGGGTCTGCCTGTGTTATGTATCGGGACTGAAACATTCCAGGACTGTTCCACCTGAGACTTGCTGAGCTTGGAGCCCAAGAACAATAATCCAATCAAGCAGTAATGTTATGTAAATAGCCTATCGTTGGGAGTGGGGTGTGTTTGGGTGTGGCAATTGCATGCTATTTAAACAGGGGCCGAGGCCCGGAGTTTAGTCTTGTTCTTGCTGAACTCACTAATAAAGTAGAGCTGAACGTAAATGCCTGACGTTTATTCTGTGTGGCTCAGACACTGAGCACGTTTGGCCACTCCTGTGCTACGTCATTACTGGCTCCTGCGATACAGGCAGGGCTATTTTTGGGCAGGAACGCACAGGAACTGAGTTCCGGCTGGCTCCCAAGTTGGCCACGCCCAGCAGGAACCCATTAGCATAATAGGCCACACCCAACAGCAGGAACTCATTAGGATTGGCTACATTAGGGGTGTGTGGCCTAACATGCAAAGGAGTTCCTGCAACAAAAAAAGGCCCTGAGTTTTGACAACAAAAAAGGTAAACAGAATAAGAAGGGAAAGGTGGGTGTGGCTGGATGACCACACTTCTGGTAACATGGGAATGCGGCCTAATATGCTAATGAGTGGTGCAATCAGGGGTGTGGCCTAATATGCTAATGTGTTTCTGCTGCTGGGTATGGCCTATTATGCTAATGAGCTCCTGCTGGACTTTTTCTACAAAAAAAGCCCTGAATACAGGTAATGCCTCTTGGAATACAGACAATGCCTCTTTTACCTGGGCTAGAACTTAAGAACTTAAGAACTAGACTTGGGGCCTGCTCATCCGTGGAACCCAATGTTTAACAGCCTGTGTCCTTTATAAAGTTTATATCTCCAGTACCTGGCGTTACATTTTACGGCACACATGGCCCAGCCCAACAAACCGACATTTATGTCAAATTCGGCCCTCGTAACAAATGAGTCTGGCACCTCTGTTTTAAGCAGAAACATTGGAGTGACATTGAACACGCCGAGCAGGTTCGGAAAAGCGTGCCGGCACCGCCAGCAAATGGGCCCTACCTGTGTGGTATCCTCCATCAAGCCCCTTATCTTCTCCACCACGTCGGTGCGCCGGTGCTGGCGGAGAGCGCTGATCAGCTGGGCGAGGCTGGCTTCGGGACCTCGGATGGTCCAGTGCTGCAGTGCAGCGTAGGCCCTTTCGTGATCCGCCGAATAGCCGTTGGTGAAGGCCGCCATCTCGCGCTCGCTGGCGTTGCACAGGAACTGGTAGATGTCCTTCCACTGGCTTCCGACTTGGGCGGCGACCAGCTTCAGAATGTCTATCCCTGTCGGGGAGCAGAAGACGTTAAAAGTCACAGCCGCGAAAGGCGGAAGATTTATGCGATCTGAATATGAACGACTTTGATATATATATATATATTAGAAATGTTTAAATATATATATATATACATTAAATAGAAAAACAGGTATTTACCATGAAACACGATAAACAAGGAAATTATATACTATTTTTTCAGTTAAAGACGATAGGCGTGAAGATATGTAACTTGATTTTTAGATTATGCCTAGTAGAAATGATACCAGGATGTACAGCTGCTGAACAGATGAAAGAAACCGTATACATTCTGTACTTTGTTTTATGACGTAGTGTTGCTAAGCAGTCAGTTTAAGAGGAGGTAAAATTTCAGGTAATCTAGTAATTAAGCTGTGTACGAGAAATTTAAGCAGACGCTGTGAAAATGTACGACTCTCCCTTTTATTTTATTTTTTCTGGTCTGAAAGCCAATAAAAATATATATTGTATAAATAAAAGTCATAGCCGTCGATCGCACGTGCTCGCTGCAAGAGTGGCGTTCTCAGCATTATCCGGATGGAGCACCACGGTCCTCTGCCTTCTGGAGCACATTTTTTGCATCATCCATGGACTGATGCTTCTTGGAGTCAAGCAGGGCAAACACCAACATCTTAGCCTTCTTAAAGGCTAAGGTCGCCACATTAATCACCCGTCCTTCCTGCCTCGAAAATGCATTCTACTTGCCAAGGCGGAGAAGAAAGACAGTCTACAGTCTTGTTTCTGATGTGCCACAGCAGGGGTGGCCAAACTGCAGCTAGGAAGCCACATGCGGCTCTTGCACACCTATTGTGTGGCTCCCAGCAGGGCAGCTGGGGAAGCAAAGGGGAGGCATACTTGTTCTCCCCCCCTCCCTCTCCCCTGTTCGAAGGCTTCTGCTTTTATGTGAACAGGAAGGAAGGAAGGGAGGGAAGGAGTAAGAAGAGGAACACCTTCCGGCAGCTGTGGAATCTCTTTATTGAGGACTACTGTTCTCCTTATCTCAGGCATAAAGCTTGGGTACACACAGAGGCGTGAGCCCCCTGGCACAAACGGAAGGGCAAAGGACCAGTGGCTTGCAATCTGCGCCTGCAATCAAGCCGGCTGATAAGTCCCAGATCGGCCTGAGATAACACCGGTTAGTTCTGCTTCCTCTGTTTGCTGTGTACTAGTTTATTCATGGTGTCGTCCCCCCCCCCAATTGCAAGCCTCCGTGGCCCTGACCGGGATGGCCGAGGTGAGCCTGGTCTCGTCAGCTCCTGGAAGTTAAGCAGGGTCTGCCCTGGTTAGTGCTTGGATGGGAGACCACCAAGGAGGCCTCAGGTTGCTACGCAGAGGCAGGCAACAGCAAAGCACCTCTGTTCGTCTCTAGCCTAGAAAACCCTACAGGGTCGCCATAAGTCAGATGCGATTAGATGGACGGAGGGACAGAAGGAAGGGAGGGAGGGAGGGAAAGTGAG